CCCGGCCCGAGGATGCGCCCTGCCCGGTCAGCACACTTGTCCGCATTAAAGTGTCGTTTGCACGCTCCACACTGTGCATGTGCTGCTCTCTCCGGACTCGGCTCCGAAAAGGTTACTACCGTTGCTGCCAGATTTGGTGCAGCAAATACAAATGACGATGTAGGTGCCGGACCATTCCAGGAGGCATATATGGCTTTTCCTAAAGGCACGTGATTACCTCTGGTGTATCGCTTTCCGCAGCAATGGCGTGAGTACTGCCAGCTTCCGTTTGCCTGCTGCGCTCGTGAAGTGTTTTGACTCCTGGCGCCGATTTACTGTAACAGGGCTGGTCCATGGTCCAGGAGAGGCCTGGTGCAGACAAATGCAAATGGGACTGCAGCTGCGTTTCTGTTTAGTTTGTCCAGAGAGGGTCTGGGCCTACTTGTTCATTTACAAGCAGAAGGGAATGATTTCAGTCTCGGGTAAAGAGGGAGTGGGGTTTGCATGAAGTGAGGTGAGAGCCTTCATCACGTACTTGACCCTATGCTGAGAAGCAAGAAACCCACTGAAGTCTCTCTCCTACCTTAGATATGCCTCTTGCTTTTGGGGATTTCCTTTGGCACAACTCTTACACAACTCTACAAAGGTCATGCAAAGACAAGTTTTCACTTTTACATCCCAGTAAGGCTTGTAGTGTAACCTCCCCAACAAAGGAAGAATAGACAAAACACTCTTAAGAAAGGGGCTGGCTTGCTTTTAACAGAATCACAATACTGAGCATGGGTGGTTTTATTTCTGCTTACAGGTGAAAGATCAGATGATTAAAAACCGATTCGTTGAAGTGGATGAGGCTGTGAAAGGTGGTGTTGCTTTTCTAATCGTCCCGCCTTCTTCCATGTATTTGATATGTACAGAGTCACATTTTATATAAAATGGTGGCTGTACTCTGGTACAGGGTTTCTAGGAAGTTCCTCTCTAGCTTACTCTAGATTTCCTTGCTTCAAAGGTAAAGGTTTGCATCTGCATTGTTCTTCCAATCGTCATCTAAAGGTACCAGACAGCTCTCCCTTTGTGGAGCTTTCTGCTTTGAACACAAGAAGGTAGTTTGTAAGGTTTCTTTTGAGACAGTTTCGTGGAGGCCTGGCTTTTTTGCCTATTAAAAAAAACCCCAAACTACTTTGTTATTAAATAAAGCATCCCATAATCATACATGAGGCAGTAAAGCAGGTGCTTTCACATCCTTTTGAATACGTAAGTGCTACAGGGTGCTCTGTAATGCAGTAGGGTGAGTGGCTATTAGCATCAGACTCTACTGTTGCAAGACACAGTAAGAACACCAGGTAAATGAAGGAAGTAATAAGAGGAGAGTCTGGCCGTGCTGAGGTTGTGCTTTCCGCAGTGGCTCCTCTCAGCTTTTCTCTTGCCCAGCCTATTGTCTTAAGGCACCTGCTACACTGAGAAACAACATGCAACTGATTGGAGACTTACAGAAAATGTGTGTTTCTCCTCACCTAACTCCTTCCTTGTCTGTGCAAGCAGTGGGCCTGTTTCTTTTTGTGGACCAAACAAGTAACTCAGGGTTCCTAAATTGCTGCACATGGATCAGAAGAATAATTTGTGCAACAATGCACAGTCTCTAGGCCACACTAAACCCAGCCTGCCATAGAAACAGTGGATTTTTCTGCGCAGAGTACTGTGCACCAGTACAGGACAGCCCCAGCTTTAAAAAAGAAAAAAAAAGCATACTAAGCTTATAAAGCATAATTCTCAAATAGCTGCTCTGATGCTGTCAGTGGGTGAAGGCTGCGAACAAATTACAGAGCAATTCCAGTGTCTTGCAAATGGCGAGAGTGCAGTGCTGGAAAAAGGGTATGGCTGAGGCCTCTGGAGTTTGCTAGAGAAAACCAGTAGCAGTTAGCTATGACCACTGAATACAACTTTGGCTTTCGGCTGAACCTGCCTTTCAAGAGATTAGTTGATACTTTTCTTCAGAGCCATGATGACCTGTTGCTTAAGGGGGCTGTACGTGGCAACGTAACGTACAGGGATCCAAGTTCAAGGGTGTATGTGTTGCTGTAGATGCTGCACTACATACTTTCTCTAGAGCAAGGGCTAGGGCAAAAGGAGAAAGAATTTTCCTTTTCTTGGCAGGAAGCAGCTATTAAACTCATTCAGCTATATTGTCACCTTCCCCTATTTCCCCTGAAAGTTGTGTGGGCTAAACAAAACAGCTGCATACAAGGAGTGAGCATAAGTCAGAAGCAGAGTATCATCAGGCTGACGCACAGCAAAAACTAGGCTTGAAGAAAGCCACAAGTGAAGCTCGAATCTCTAGCATAGTAATTCTTCATAGCATTTGATAGCAATACGGTTAAATTCCTCATTGTTTAAGTAGCTCTTGTAAGCTTGGTTAGCACTGTACTCACACAAACCAAAATCTTCATTTCTGCTCTGACGTTGTGATTTCCTCTGCTGGCCGTTCTGTTGGCTATTGCAACAAAATTTGTTATCCTTTGTTCGAGAAAGCTATCGCTGGATCCTAGAAAAAGCAAAAACAAAACAAAACAAACAAAAAGAGCTTACATACAGCTTATATATGCAGCGAATACTGCATCATCCCCATTGTAGACTGCTCCTCAGTCTGCAGACTGCTACTCCGTGCGTATTTTGCATTTGAATTAATCTGATTAACATTACTTCATTGCCTGCTTTCTTCCTGCTCCTGGAATACTTCTGTGTTCCATACACTAGGCAAGCTGATGAAGCAGTCTCCCCTTTACTTACTGCTAACTATTAGTGCTATTTGGGTATTGGACTATGCTGTTGCCTTTGAGATCTAAAGTAAAACTCCTTGGCTAGCACTGTGGGAGGGGGTTTTAGGCAGCAAGCTGCACACATCAAAAATTCTCATTATTCCATGCATTTATCGTTTCTGCACAGGATATACAAGAGAGAGCGAGCGCACGTTGGCAAGGCTTTTAACATGAAGAACTCCTTGTACAGCATAGAATGCTGTCTTCCCAGAACTTTCAAACCCGTTAGGCGACAGCATGGACAGCAATACCGAGGAATCTAAGGATTCCAGTAAAAGACCACTAGTCTGTCCCGGTGCTGCTGCCCTACAGCTTTTGCTGTTGTCTTGGGTGTTGCAGCCTGCATTTGCCACCCTAAATGCAGGCCCACTTTCACTAGCACCTTCCCTTCCACTCACCCTGCTTACAGAAGCGCAGCCTGGGGCAGAGGAACAGCAATGGAAAGTTGCTGCAGCCAAATGAATCGTTATGTCTTAACAACCAGAGGTATGGAAAATGTCAATTTAGATAAATTAAACAGATGCTGGAGATTTCCCTTGGCATTTCAGCTCCAGTAGTCATAGAATTCTCAAGACGTTTATTGTACTTAATGCAATCCATTGGGTGGTGTTATGGTAATGGCATCTAAAAGTCTCTCACTAAGGCTGTCATCCAGTCTGAGGGAGGGAGAACATACAGTAAGAAAGCCACCTTTCACCTGAAGACAAATTCTTTTTTTAATAAAATAAAGTGCATCTCCTGTAGAGTACCAGATGACTAACTACTTGTCAGTAGAAAATAAATTGTCTAGACTCTTTTCAAGCAGCTCCCAATATAGCTTTTCTTTTTATATATATACAGTCATGCAATTTGATTTGATTCTTGAGAAGACTTATTTTCTTCATTCAAGGATACAGCAAACGTTCCAAACTCATTAGGTTGTCTTTTTTGGGAGACATGGCAGAGGTCAAGTGAACTGCAGGCACACGCTGAAATGGTTACAGCTAGCTTAATTACAAATGTGAGACAATTGATTAGGTGCTTTCTCTGTCCCTCTCCCCATTTTCCCTACTTATGTACATCTGTTATAAATACATTTATGAACATCCACAAATAATTGCCATCAAGCAACCTTTAATGATAAGGACTTAATCAAAATTAACCTTTAGGCACTGCTGAAGAGATTCAACTACAGCACGGCGTAAAATCACTTTCCTGCCTAAACTCATGCATCTTACTTCTAAACAGCAGCTTGCAGATTTAGAATATTTGAAGGGTTTGGATTCCAAAAGGTAAACATCACTTTGCAGCTCACAGTTCAACAGTGACCACATACAGTAATTTCTGTAAAACACAAAATGTATGACAAAGGAAGAGAATAAGCAAGTAAGCAGTGCCTCTTCTTTAAGTTAGTTTCTATGGATTTGGTGCGACTTCCAACACTGCATGATGGTGGCAGGCTCTGGGTTCTTTCCAGACGCCACCAGTATTGCTCAAAGCCCCAAATTAACATACATTGATGTTGACTTAAAAGTACTATGTATGTAAACACTATATAAATACATATGCAAAACAAAGTCCATATCCTCTAAAATAGAAAATGTGATATATATTCTATTGGGCAATGCATACAGGCAATAGCAGTAGTTTTATAACTATATAAATGTATTTCACCAGGTTATTTACATAGGGAAGCAGAGACAAACATTACGATGAAATACATTGATTTCATAATTCTGTGAATCTTTTGAAGATCCTCGCTTGCAACAAAATGATCTGCAACTCCAGCTACCTAGGAAAGTAAAGTGCTCATGATCCATTTAGTGCAATAATGCTGGCTACAAAACTTAAGAGGAGAAAACATTTTAAGAACTAGTACCGCATTAACTAGTGGGACCAAACAAAAAAAAAAAAAAGAAAAATCATTTTTTAGTTTAAAAGTTCGATAAGGAAGAGAAATTAAGGTTACACAGCAGACCAACATGAAAAGAAAAATTCTCCAAAGTCAAGTCTTTAGATTGTCAGAAATCGGAAGTGCCAAATGTACAGTTTCTCAGGCTATTTTGTTCCAGCTTCATCCTGAACATTCTTGGAGACAGCTGTCCCATAATCCAGGAAACGGCATGTCACAGATACTCCTGCAGATATGACACTACGTAAGCCCAAACAAAGAAAAGAAAGATGAACAGACTCACCAATCTGACAGTCCTTTACCTCTGAGTGCTTAACTTCAGCGTTCCTCCATTTAAGTAAATAACGAGTAGCATGAAACTTGCTTCTCAAATAAAAAAAAGTAATAGGGATGGATGATAAAAACAAGGGGTTCTTACAAGCTGTGCATTACGCTTTCAGCACTGGGGTATAGTAAGCCACAACAGCTAAAGATTGCACAAGTTATTTCATCTTGGCATCACAGATCAAGCACCAGAACAAACTTAGGTGAACAGTCAAGTACAACTCATTTAAAAGGAGTGACACTCCAGAGAAAACCCTTCTGCACCCAAAGACAAGGTGAGCAAAAATAACCTCCAGAGGGATGCCATGCACAGCACACGTAAACACCAAAATGCCCCATCAGCCCTGGTAAACCTTGGCTGTCTACCCAAATACAGAGGGAGGCTGACAGTGATCCTAGAAAGTTTTATTTCTGTTTTCGTCTTTGCTCTCAAGACTTAAAAGACTCCCGGGCTTAACTGGAACTTATATGAGACCTCACACTTACCACCTTCCAAAATCAGAATAATTAAGAATTCTCACAGATAATGAAACCCAAAGCCCTTTTTTACTAGTTTCAGTGAGAGACGGAAGATGCAGCTCTAGCTGACAAGTACTTTATCACCGATCCCATGCAGATTTTAAAATGTCACAAGGTACAACTGAATGAAAAACAAGGATGATGTGCTACAGGCTTTCACACAAATTATTTTTCTTACATTCTCAACTTTGAGAGTAAGCTTCTACCCAAAGGAAGTTGACGCAAAAAGACCCTTCTCCCCAAAGGTGGCTTATGGACAACTGCCTGTCCTCCTGCTAAGTCATCACAAGCCCTTGTAGTCTTAGTTAAAAGTCTAACGTGGAAGCAAATATGCACATATTGGCAACCACCACCATGGACCACAGCCAGAACCTACAGAGCAGGGTTTGCAAGCCAGGCCACTGCGGTTTCACCCCACAGTGGCTTCTTGGAGCAGTTCTGCTGGCAGGAGCTCTGCGCACCCAGGAGCCTGGCTGTGGCACTTGACAGAGTAAGCCACCTGAGCAAGACCAGTCACTCTCTGCCTTTCCCAAGTTTTGAAAAGCACCCATCCAGAGCCAGGCCTACCACAGGCAGAGACCGGGACCCGCAGGTTGGTTCCGCCGCTCCCTGAGGCCTCACGGGAGTCACTACTGCCCTCGGCAAGTGAGGTCCAGGCTGCTCCGCCGGGCTGTGAGATGGGACCTTCTGCCCACGAAGCCGGCGGAGCACTGCAGCCCCAGCGCTCCGACAGCGGCAGTGCCTGCAGGGGCATGTGCAGCCCCGCAGCTCGCTGCCACCTGAGAGATAGTGGTCGCCCTGCCCGGGCGCCAGGCTTCCGGGTCCCCTGCCTCAGGCCGGACAACGCCACTCATCCCGCCAGGAACGACTGACGGCACTGCGGGGCAGCTGGAGGGAATGGCCCCGCACTGGCACCACCGCTTCCTGTTGCCGTGGCCCTAGGGGCACAGATGGGCCTTTGCCGCCACAGGGGAAGGATGAGCGGTGCCAGGTGCCGCCAACTCGCCCCTTGGCTCCCGCGGGCAGGGGAAAGCTCGGCGAAGCCAGCGCAGACCTTCTCGCCATTTGCCAGGCCCACTGCTGCCATCCCGGGGTGGGGCACGAGCCCACCGTGCCGCGATGGGGAGGCCGAGGGCAACGCAATGAGGCAGCGGAGGCTGTGGCGGCTTCTCCCATTTATTCGTTCCGCGCGCGGGGCAAGAGCGGGCGCTGCTCCTCAGCGGGTGGCAGCTCCTCGGCAAGCGGCGACTCGTAGGTGACGCAGAGGGAAGAGAAGAGACAGCCCAGGAAGGATACCAGGCTGGCGAAGTACATGGCGCCGCTGGCGCTGCCCACAGCCGCCGTCAGTGGCCCCATGGCCAGGGCCACGAGGATCTGTGCCAGGAAGTACTGACAGCTCAGCAGGGAGATGTCAACGCCCATCCCACGCCGTGTGCCCTCCGCCTGCGAGCCTACGAACTGTAGGGGACACAGCGTAAGGGGGCGCAGCGGAAGCCCCTCTCCCCTCCCCAGCCTGGGGCTCACCTCGCAGCTCTGGTAGTAGTCGCAGAGCAGGGAGTAGGGCAGCGTGCAGAGCGTGGCGAAGAGGATGCCGTAGGTAGCGCAGAGTGACAGCACTATGTAGATGTTTCTGGAGAGCGTGGCCAGCCCCGTGCCCAGCCCGAAGGCCAAATAGGCCACAAAGTACAGTGTCCGTGTGCTGAACCGCTCCTCCAGCTTCTCCAGTGCAGCTGCAAGACAATGGCAAGGCATTCGGGGTGAACCGTGGCCCTCCCCAACGCTAGCCCATCATTCGACCTAAGGGGTGCACTTTCAGGCCCCACAGCCCAGCTTTTAGGCAGCCACATCTCAGCGGCAACCGTTACACCTTTGACTAACTGGTGGCTCACACGTGAATGCCAAGGACCCCACTTCCAAACCCCACTGCCACAATGCAGCCTTGCTGCCCTACCTGTGTGGAGGACACGGCAGAGCTGAAGGCTGGCAGTGCCCCTGTCCCAGAGGGGTAAATGGGAATTGTTG